TGTGTGTGTGTGTGTGTGTGTGTGTGTGTGTGTGTGTGTGATGACAACAGGAAGATAACATGACAAGGTTAAGGCAATACATATTAATTATAGCCATCAATGTTAATTGTCTTAATTCACCAATCAAAAGACACATCCTGGCAGAATGGCTTAAGAAGCAAGATACAACAATATGCTGGTTACAAGAAACACAATTAGGGGTTGCGGAGCTAGCTCAGTGGTCTAAGAACCTGTGTAGGAAAGTGCAAGGACCCAGGTTCGATCACCGGTACCACATGCCATGCTGGCTCCACCCCACATGCGCCAAGCTGGCCACCGAGACCAGGCGTGGTGGTGTAGACCTGTAATCATAGTACTGGGGAAGCTGAAACAGGAGGATCACTATGAATCTGAGCTGCATAGTGAGACCCTGTATCAAATACATAAAAAAAGAGAAACATTTAATTCAAAAAGAAATTCATAGACTGAAAAATCAAAGGATGGAAAATAATACTCCATGTGACAGGAACCCCCTACCAAGCAAAGGTAGCTATTCCATTTGCAAACAAAATGAATTTCAAGCCAAGACTTATTAAGAGAGAGAAAGAACATCACTACATCTCGTCAAGGGAATCTAAGAGGAAGAGATAACAAACATGAACATATATGCAACAAATACCAGTATACATGACTCTATACAACAAATATTAAGAAGAAGTGAAATTAACATTATTTGCATATGACAAGACACTCTACATACATGATTCCAAAAATATTCCACTAAAAAACTTGCTAGGTTTCAGTAGCAAAGCTAAGTACAAAGTCCACATTCAAAAATCAATAGCCTTCCTATACAAGTAATAACAAACTCACTGAGAGAAATTAGGGATACAACAATTTTCATAATAGTATAAAAAAAGAAATACCTAGGAATCAATCTAACAAAGAATGTAACAGACCGCTACTATGAAAACTACAGTACTCTGAAAAAGGAGATTGAAGAGGATATCAGAAAATAGAAGGGCTGGCGAGATAGCTCAGCAGACTAAGCATCTGCTTAGGTAAGTACAGGGGTCAGGGTTCAATCCATGGCACCACATGCAGGGCCAGCCCCACCCCTCAGGCATGCTGAGCTGGTGATGGAGTCCAGGCCTGGTGGCACACACCTGTAATCCCAGCACTAGGGAGGCTGAGAACAGGAAGATCACTACAAGTCCAAGATGCACAGAAAGACCCTGCGCACATGCACGCACACACACACACACACACACACACACACACACACACCCTAGAAAATAGAAAGATATCCCTTCATCTTCGGTAAGAAAAACCAATATAGTGAAAATAGCCATACGTTCAAAACTGTTATACAGATTTAATGCAATTCTGATCAAAATGCCAACAGCATAATCCCACAGAGTTAAAACAATCCTAAAATTCATTTGGAACAAGAACAGCCCATAGAATAGCAAAAGCAATTCTGGAGAACAAAGTCAAAGCCGGGGGCAACACAATCCCTGACTTGAAATTATACTATAAAGCTACTGTGATAAAAACAACACAAATAAATACATGAAAAAATATTCAACACCATTGCCCATTCAAGAGATGCAAATTAAACCAACGCTGAGATTCCATCTCACCCTGGAAAGAACCAACCAATAACAAATGGTGGAGGGATAGTAGGGAAAATCAACCCTTCTCCACTGTTGGTGGAAGTGTAGACTGTTGTAAGCATCGTAGAAATCTGTGTGAAGATCCTCAGAAAACTAATTTGAGGCATCATTTGATCCAGCTATTCCCATTCTGAGTATCTTTCCAGAAGAATTAAAAACCTTGCACCACAGGAACATATGTGCACCCATGTTTACAGCAGCACAGCTTGTAACTGGCAGACCTTGGAAATAACCCTAATGCCCATCAACCACGTAATGGATAAGAAAGATGTGGTCCTTTTATACAATGGAGTACTACTCAAACATAAAAAAAGATAAACTGGAGACTTTTATAGGTAAATGGATGCCACTGAAGACCATACTCGTTGTCTCGGTTACTCTTCTCTCATTGCTGGGATAAACACCCAACACCCAAAATGAAGGAGGGAAAGGTTTATTTAGCTCACAGCTAACAGATGTTTCACTTCATACTCAGCTAACTCCAAAGCAGAGCGGCACACGGCAGAGAGAAACCTTTCATGGCAGCAGCAAAAAGCAGAGCAAAAGGGCAGGAGCAGCGACAACATCGGCAACGGAGAGCACAAGTCTGCCTCCTTCACGCTGCATTCAGGAGCTCTGCCCCAGGCTGGGTGTAGCACTCACACCCATAATCCCAGCAGCACTCACACCCATAATCCCAGCAGCACTCACACCCATAATCCCAGTGCATCATGAGTCAATCACAAACTCTAGAAGCCAGCTAGCACTGATCTGCGTTCTGTCAATACAGTCTCACTTTCGTAGTATTTTACAGAAATGGTGTATACGTGCAATCCTCTGTCCAGCTTCTCTCATTTCCATAATTTTGGAATGCAGGCACCCACAGCACCTGCCTGGCAGGCACAAGTCCTGAGTTTGATTCCTTGTACAAAAAAAGTGGCTATCTATCTACCTACCTATCTATCTATACTTCCGGACAACTGAGCTGGCTTTATTCAATAACTCACTGATACAGCTTTATATCTTAAAATTGTATACTGTGAGTCTTCCAGTTTCATTCTTATCCAAAATCATTTTTACTTTTATATGAAGTAAAACTGTCTAATCAATTTTCTAACAGCAACAATAAAAACTGTTGAAGTT